GTTGTATTGTTGTTATTCTCGTTGCAAACATGAAATCTGCAGTACCCTGAATAATACTATTATGGATGTAAATACATAAACAGACTGAGAGGGATTGATGTCATTTCTGATTGGTTTGTGCCAAGTGGCCTCATGACAGATTACTGGGTCAAGGTCATACTACTATGTAAAGACACTGTAGAAAATACAAGGCAGATGTGAAAAAGAAACAAGTCCTGGCAAAGGAAAGGCAGGTGGAATGATTTAAATGTTTGTTCTAAGTAACAATTATTGCAAACTTTGTTTGCAAACTAGATTATTTTATTCTAAGTACTGGCCCTTGTTTTGACACTGAATCTCATTTTATTACTATTTAATACAAATAAATGGATGTTTTGAACATATCAGATTACCTACATGTCTTTCTGCCCTGTTATGCAATGGTTAGAAGTTCCCCACAACATTCCTGGCTAGAAGGCCATTCCACACAATATACACTTTACCACAGTTAATTTGCTTACCGTCTTTCTCCATAAGTTACATTGCCAGCAAGATCTCTTGCTGACCGTCTGCCAAGAGGCTGCATGTCAGGTGGTGTGGGCCTTCCCATACCACTGTCCACAAAAGGGTCTTCTCTGTGCTCACTGACAGAGCGCTTAAAGCCATGTGCACCAGTGAACCCCAAAAGCAGGGGTGAGCAACCCCTGGCCTGCGGGCACCATGTGATCACTGCTGCCTCCAGACACTCCTGTCCTGAAATGTAAGGTGCTGAAATCCCCAGCAGCTTGCTAAATTTGGCCATTTGAGTGTTCCATAGCAGTTTGCCAGCAAAAATCTGTGGTATATCCCCTTTTTGCAGCCGAAGCTGGTCAGCACAGTGGCGCAGCAGCAAGGGCAGGAGCCCTGCTCAGCGAAGAGGAGTCCTGAGGGTCGAAAATGTCCCAGGCTTCCCAACCCCCCCCCCCATTCTGAAGCAAGGGGCTTGGGCTCAAATGTGCAAATATCACACAGTTCGACTCAAAGGTCAGACCTCTAAGGCTGTATTCATGAAAGGGGCTATGGTCACTCACTCAATCCTTCCCTTATTTTCCTCTTATTACAAAGATGAGCTTTTGTTTCAGGCCTGAATTTGAACAAAGGTTGGGGCTGGGCAGGGCTGAAGCTAAGCAGGATTTATTTTCATTGCTCTGTAGTATGTGGGATATTAATTTTATTAATTTTATTATTTTATTAAAACATTTTTATGCTGCCCCATTCGCCGAAGCCTCGGGGCGGCTCACATCATTAATACAGGGAACTTAGTTTATTTGGTAGTATAAAAATACTACAAGAGGTGCTTTTGAGGTAGTTTTTAGTCCCACCACTTTCCATTTTAGAAATCATAGCCCTTCTTGATATTCAGCTCATGTTTCATGATGTTTGAGCCTTGGTGGAAAGGCCCGTCTTTACATTCCTGGACACACACACGCACACACACTCAATCAACTTGTGTAAGGGGCTTCACCAGATGCAGAAATACACACTGAGAATGAATGAAAGAGGTCGCTCCACAGTTGCACTGGCTAGCCCCAACCACCACATATTTGACCACCATGTGAGAGAGCCATGCTCATATCAACATACACATGTGGAGCCCTTTCACAAGAGAGGGAATCCTGAATGGAATGGATTTCCCGCTGGCTGGAGGTGGCCTAAGTGCTCATCTCAGTTGTACATGCAGACCAACCTGGAGAAGTCCCACTTTCTTGTTGCTCAAATATTAATAGGCCTGAATCAACAATATTTGAGAACTGCTGCTAGTAAAACTTGTTCCTCACTATTTCATCTTAACTGTAGGAACTGCTATAATGATACATTTACTCCAGCCCCGTAGCAGTACACACGAACTTCCCAAGGTACAGAACAGCATTTACTCTTGACCATTTTTATGAGCTGCCACCAGCATTATTAAAGGATGATTTAACAAGGTCTTGTCAATGATCAAATATGTTCCTGTGGTCCTGGAGCAGTAGAAACAGCAAAGCATGTTCTCTTACATTGCAGCTTTTATAAGGAATGAGGAGAGAAATTGATTAAACCATTAATAACAGATCTTTATGGGAATAATTCTTCCACGCTGGTATCTCCTTGTTCAAGGGATGTATCTTCTTATGTTATTGGAAATGTTGCCAAATTTTTTATGACTGCAGATTAGGAAAAGTGTGGTCACCTGCTTGAGTGAAATTACTGCATAAATTGTTCTTCTTTAAACTATGCTTTAGTTTTTCTACTGCTATTTTATCTGTTTATTAAACTTCCTGGTTTGTAACCATGAAAACTGAAACTAAGCATACAGCCTGACGTACATCAGACAAATACATGGTTGACTGGGATAAATCCATTGCAAATGGTCACCATCATGGGCAAAAACACATGGCAGTGTTGGACTAGCACATACATTTCTAGTCACCTTACTCAATTTTTCAATATAAAAGAACGTACTGGATATACCCACTTATTTTGTCACTTTCTACATTTGCTCTACCCTGCATATTCCCTCCTGTTCACACATATCAACTAGGACTGCACAGAAAAAAAAAACCCTTCTGCTTCACCCTGACCACTGATAGAAAAGAAATTGCCTTTTAAAAAATCAAAGAAGAAATTTCAGAGAAATTCTCAGGGGTTGGGTTCAGGGTTCTTATATTATCTGACTTCAGAGGTGACTAGGAAGTGTGCACAAGTGTTCTGGCTTTCATTTTGCAATAAACTGGCAGGGTGTAGCTACCCACACTTCAGTTCAAGCCCAGGGTTAGGACATTATGAGCTAATTTCTCCCACGGGGCCTTTTCAGGTCAAGAAATGCAAGCAACCTAGGAGAGTCATGTAATTGAAACAAACACACGCAGGACCTTTTGTCACCTTGCAGTGGCTAGCTAAGCACAAAAACATCAGCAAAATAATTCAAAATAAATTATAAAATGCCCTGAGAACAATGCAGAAAAATGGCAGCATCAACCCAAAAAGCTTTACATAAAAACAGGGCTGTGGAAGACCCCTGCTAATTGTGAGTATTGTTTGTGAGAAACTGTTAGATAATTTATCTTTCCTTAGGAGAAATTCGGTGAATATTTTTCTGTCCCCAAATAATCTCAAAAATTCTTAGAGGCCACTTGTGCACAATGCAAATTTTAATAAAGTTATTTTTAAAGCTATTTCATAAGAAAGTTTTCCTCACCACAGTGTGAGAGGTTAGGGGTGAGTAATCAGGAGTGAAAAATCTTTGTTTGGGTGAGATTATAAGATTCCCCCAAATAGGCATGTTTTGGGATTGCTAGGTAACAGTATCAAAACTTAACATAGAATTTAACATATAATTTAAGAACATCTTTAATGTTAACACCGATTACAATGTGCAATTGATGGATCTAGTCTATGTTTCCTTCCACACCCTCCACAGGAAAAAAAAATATCTCATGACTTCAAAGCAGTTTGAGATTGATTCTTACTTGCAAAAGGTTGTATCTGTTTTACTTTATCGTGTAGTGTGACAAGCTAATGTTGCACATTTGATCTCAAGCTAAGATGACAAAAGAGTTCCAGATGGATACTAACAAGCTAGTAATTATTGCTGATGAAATTAACAGTGTTTGTTTGCCTCATTCACCAAAAAGTAGGCAGCCAATATATCATTTTAAGAAAACCTGTTGCACATGTAACAAAAAATATCTGGTTGCACCATAAAGACTTAGCAAATGATTATGACAAACTTTCATGGACTAAAATCCACTTCAGTGGATTCTTTTGATGAACCAGCCTCTAGTCCCTAAAACTTATGCCTCGACGGCTATGCTCACTGGGGATGCTAGGTGTTGTTGTCCAAAACATTTGGAAGGCATCAGGTTGGGGAAGGCTAGTTTGTTCCATAAAAATGTGTAAGTCTCTGATGTGCTACATGACTTTTTGTTGCTTTTGCTAAAACAGACTGACATGGAAGTTGCTACACAGGGATGCACATATGACATCCAAACCTGTCTACTATATGAAAAATAAGCATTATTAAAATCTCATCCCAAGTCAGTTTGTACCAGCATGCCACAAGTGGGGAGCGGGGAACATACCAGCATGGTTAACAAGCAGAGTCATGGAACCTGTTAGAGAGAAGTGTTCCCTCAAGAAATGGATATACTGCCCAAATCAGGAAAACAAAAGTGTTAACAAGCTTGTGTAAGGGAGACACAAGCAGACAATAGAAAGCAAAGAAACATTTTGAGGAATGTATTGCTAAAGACTCAAGGCCAACAATACAGAATTCTTTAAGCTTATTTATGTTATTTCACTTCAGAAGAAAGAAGCCAGCCAGAGAGAAAGTTAGACCACTGGAGAATAAAGCAAGATAAGGAGATTGTAGAGAAGCTGACTTGAATTCTTTTCATCTGTGTTCATAGCTAAGAATACAGAACAGAAACCTGTTCCTGAACTTATGCACTCAGATAGTAGAGAAATTCTGTAGTGCAATGAAATTCTTAACCTTCTTGACAAACTAAAAATAGATCACCAGGCCCATCCAAGGTTAATCCATGTAATATGAAATTGCTTACCTTCTTACATATTTTACATACATATTATTACATGCATATTACATACTGCAAAGTGAATGGTACATATGTCCCCAAGATCAGTTTCTGTAAATAGGCCCAAAGAATGGACAATGTAACACCAATATTTAAAAAAGGTATCCAGGGGGATTCAGGGAATTACATACCAATTAGCTTAATGTCTGCTCTGGGTAAACTGGTTGAATATATTAAACTGGTTGAATATATTAAAGATAAAATCAGTAAACATGTAGAGGGTAGACCCTGCTGAAAATGAATCAACATGGCTTCTGCAAAGGTGAGTCCTGTCTCACTAACCTAAACAGCATTCTCTCAGCGTATCAATCAGCGCATGGACAGGAGTGATCTGGTAAACATTGTTTACTTGGAATTCCAAAAGGTTTTTGACAAAGCACCTTATCAAAGAAGCTTAAGCATGCTTACCAATCATGGAATATATGGAGAGAGGGGTCCTCTTATGACTCAGCAACTGGTTGAAGAACAGAAGACAGAGAGTGGGGATAAATTGGCAATTTCTCCCAATAGAGAGAGATAAAAAGTGGGATCCAACAGGGTTCTGTATTAGAACCAATGCTTTTCCACCTATACATAAATGATTAGTAGAAGCCAGGATCATCCCATGAAGCTAATGAGCGGAAGATTCAGCACAGATAAAAAGTTTTCTTCATCCAACACATAAACAATAGAATTCACTGCTGCAGGAAGTAGTGATGGCCAGTGATTTACAGGGTATTAAAAGCAATTGGACAAATTTGTGAAGAAGAAGTTATCAATGGCTACTAGCCTTTTTTGCTGTGTGCTGTCTCCATTATCAGAGGAGAGGGACCATGCCTGCATATGCCAGCTTGGGCAGGTCGAATTTGGGCAGGTAGAACTGAGAACTTGCACCCATCCTGAGTGATCCTGTAGGCAGCTGGTTTGCCACCATGTGAATGGCATGCTGGACTACACAGACAACTGGTCTGATCCAGCATGGCTTTGCTTATGGTCTCATACTGCCATGGGAAGATGGAACAGTGTTGAAGTTCACAGGTCCACTGGGAGAACTGAGATTGCCAAACAGCAAAAGGTCACTGGCCTTGAGTCAGGGTTAGATAAATAGTGAGTAAAAACAGAGAAATTATTCACCAGTAGGTTGCAACACTGTATAGCAAGGCTGAGCTCTGGGGCCATTTCTGTCGTCGAGATGAACCAATCACAAATTAATTGACTGTACCATTAGTGTCTCACAACAATGATATATCACACATTAAGGATATTGTATGCAAGGAAGAACCAGTGGCCCTTCAGAAGTTACTGGATTACAGCTCCCATCATCCTACCCACTGGTTATGCTAGCTGGCACTGGTGGACATTAGTGGCCAAGAGCAACTGGGGAGCCACAGGTGTCCTGCTTTTGTTCGGAGCAGCAGGGACTTTAGTGATGACAGCTGGTACTGTAATTTCAGAGGCTTCCATCTCTAAGAGTGGTCCTATCTGAGCTGTTATCCAAATACCATGCTGCAGTTAAGAGACATACTGCATGCTAAGGTCCCCAACATGGTGCCCATGGGCTCCCAATATTTTAAAAAATGCTTTTAAATTTCCCCCATTTTTTTTCCTTATTCCACATACATGGATTTCTATATATCCATAGCAGTGAATACATGTGAAAGGTATACAACTTCCTAGCCATTATACATAGGCTTCAATAAAAGTTGACCATATATCCACTTGAAGCTGGCATCTATAAACGACCCATTCATGCATCTGAAATGTTGTAAGGTCCTCAGTCCAGTATTATAAAAAGTGAGTGTTTATCCTTCCACTCTTTAATAAGTCTTTTAGGTGTCAGAAAGGTGCAAAAAATCAGTTTCCCTTCCATTTTAATTTAAAATAAATAATAATTTAAGAATTTTAAAAGGGTGCACATTAGTGAATATTAAAGACTGCTCCAGTACAGATTTTATCTGTGCAATAACCTCTTCCCAAAAAGAAGCAATTAGCATACATTGCAAAAAAGTATCTTTTAAAGAAGCATTAGATATACAGCACTGTTTAGAAGCAGCAATGTTTAAAAGAAGCATTAGCTGCATAACGCTGCTAGCAATTAGTTGAGTTAGATGATCCCTTTTATGTTGTAGTGGCCACTAAATATAAAACAAACATTTTTTGCTGAATAAAATGCAGCCTAAAATCCATAGATGTGTCAGGTAGACATCCAAGTGTGATCCACTGATTAGGCATTCAGTGGAAGTGCCCACAGCAGTTTTTCAAATTCCCAAATGTGCCTATGGACCAAGAAAGTTTTGAGACTCCTGCTGTATGTGTATGTGTGTGTGTATGTTTCTAACAAGTGACAAAAGTGTCTGGCCCAATCGGTCTGGCCCAATCGATGGAGGCCCTCCATATGAGCCAGAATACAGATTTTTCCATGTTTTTCTGGCTAATGAGGACAGCCTCCAAGGACAGAGGTTCTCCTCTTTAGACTGTCACTTCCACAAGCTGACAATGACAGAGGGATCAAGGGAGATGGTGACTTCCCAAGACTGTGTAGGGCTAAAATAATGCTAGAATGCTGGGTTAGAATCACAGAGATCCAGGGTCAAATTCCCACTCATTTGTTTATATAAATATTTATATGCAGCTTTTCAGTCCCCATGCCCTCCCAAGTGTCTCACAACTGCAATTAAACCAGTTTTAAAACAAATGACCTAAAATAGGAGTAGCATAAACAAAACACTGAAATTCTAGAGAAACAAAACTGTTCTACAGTGCAATCGTATGCACAGTTGACTGGAGAATGCTGGGAACTGTAGGACTCCTCCCATCTCAACATGTGTAAGATTGTGAACTGTCCCAAGACATCTGTGATATGACGGTATACAAAAGTTTTAAATAAATAAATAAGATTGCAACTTTTAATCACCTGTTTGAAAACTGAGAAAAGGATAAAGGAGTTTTGCATGCACAGAAATCCAGAGCCTCAGTACCACAATCACCTCAAACATTAGTGTGCTATTAAAAGATCTAAAAGGGGTGCATAGAGAAGTAGGAGCAGACAGCTCTTTAAAAATGCCAAGTTGAAACCATATATATCTTTAAAAGTTATAACTGGCACTTTGCTCTGGGTCAGGCAATGAAGATTAAACAGCAACATAACTGCATGCTCCAAATAACAGGTCTCTGCCAACAGCCTGGCAGGGTTATCCTGAGCCCGCTGTAATTTCCAAACTGTCTGCCAAGGCAGCCCCACGTACAGCTTGTTGCAATTGTCAAACCGAGAGTCTCATTTTCATTAGGCGTTCAGGGCTGTCATAACCACACAGCACAATCTATCCCACAGGGCTGTTGTGCGGGCAAAGCGCGCTAGGGCTGTCGTGTCAGAAGGCGATAGCTCCACTCTATCTAATCCAGCATTCTGCTTACAGGGCAGCAAACCAGAGGTCTATGAGAAGTCAACAACAGACCGTTAGGGCAACAGAACCAGATCCTCAGCATATTGCCTCTCATACTGGAAGTAATTCATAACCATAATGGTCAGTGGTAGCTGTTCACAGCTTTATCTTCCAACATGAATCAATTACAGATATCTTTGCTCACTGAATTCAGTGAATGGTCTTACTATATAAGGTATTTGTGACAAAATGTTGACGGCTCCAGTTCTTTGTTTTAATCCCAAGTGAGTGTGCCTAGGATTGCCTCCTTAATCTTTTATGAAAAAAAGTCTTTCAGGAATGGTCTCAACCTGAATATTAAATAGACTGGAATATATCCTTAAACACTGAGCTGTTGAGACTCAGTGGCCTGGTATCTGATTAGGCTTATCCATCAACAAACACAGACAAGCTACTTGGTAGGTCATAAACACTGCTGCTCCCACAGGCTATCCATACTAGACTGATTTCATTTGACACACAGTATGCACCAAATATGGCAAAAATAGTAAAAGAGAACATGAAAGATGTAGGCTATTGATCAGTTCCTTTGCAATACACCATATCTACATACCACGAAATTAATTCTGCTGCTTAGTTGCTGCCTCTTTACTGAGTACACAGGGAGTGAAAATCAGCTCTAGATGTGAAATTTCTCCTGAAGTCCTGTGTAGTGAAAACTTACTGCCGTATGTTCATCAAGAGGCATGTGTTTACTGATATTCTCAAATCAGCCACAGCAGCATTTTGCAAGTAGCAAAAACAGCAGCAGGCAAAATGGTGCGGTAAAGTCAGTCTTTTGGGCAGTTTTCTTGCCCTTTGCACACCAAACCGCTTGCAGTGCTGATTTTACAGCTCTCTAAGCTGTGAACTCTCATTCGGGTGGATTTGCATACACCTTAAGAAGGACAGAAGAAGCTTCTGGCAGGGGTGGCTCAGATCTCAAAACTCCTGAGTTTAGAGCTTGGACCAGGAAGCCTAGATCACTTATGAGCTTTAATCTGGCTCTACACAGTTACAGTTTCATTACACATCAGTCACAGCTGCTAATATTATTCTCACTGCAGTACTTGAGCTTATTGAGTCCAAATGAACCTATGATGAAAACATGTCCAGTCATTAGAGAACAATTTAAATTGTATTAAATGTTTGGCATTCTTGAAATCCTCAAGCCAACTGGGTCAGGGTACTTGTATTTCCAAGTCTAATTGACTTCAGTGGTGGTAAATCACATTAAATCATATTAATTCAACCAAACAGCATGCTTAACTGATCGCTGGATTTGACTGTTAGAATTTTGCACTCACAGACTGCCAAAAACCCTTAAAACCATTGTTTGCACACATACTTCTTATTTAAGCATAAGCCAGATGGTGAAACCCGTCTTTCCTCTTCAGGAGTGGTAACCTAGTGGTACTTATCACAGTGAGCATATAGTAATGTGGAAGTAATTTCTCATGTGGCAAATAGTTCTACAACTCCCAGCTCAAGCAGCTTACTGATCAAGTTCAAATGTTCTGGTAAATTCTCCCCAGCTTGTTGGACAGATGCTTCAAATAAGCAATATCCCCATGTGGATGTATGCCACAAATTAAATGTGGGCCAAACTAGAAATGATTGTATGAATCTCACTACAAGATTAAAAAAAAAGGGGGGGGGTGATCCATACTGGGACTTGAGGGACAGTAGGGGATGCTTAACCCTTTGCTCCCTGCTAAGATCACAATCCAGATTTTTTTGGGGGGGGGGGGGGGGAGGCAACTGCTCTTTGCATTGGAATGAAAAGTTTCTTTGGTTTAAATGGGAGTTTATTTCTAACACAAATGGTAAGTCTGCTACACCATAAAGGTAAGGACCACTATGGAGCCAAAGAGCTCAAGTTCCCAATCATCTCATAATCCTGGTCCTAATTCAGATCAGGAAAGGGGAAATGTCTTTTCTTTATAAAATTATGCAGTCACTAATGGAACGAATACCGTCGTGTTGAGTTTGCCCCTTAAGTGATGCTATGGGAAATGCACAACCCAAGTCACACGTCTTGTCTGTTAAAAGAACTGGCAGGCACAGTGGGATGTTATCACAAGTGGTACTGCGGTGCACAGGAAGGTGGTTAATCTTTTCCCCTACACTGCGCTCCCACTTAAAAAAAATTAGAACATTTGAAATGTAATCAAACACTTCTTCTAAAACTTAGTTTATCTTCAGTCATCAATAACCATCTGGTAACATCACCAGGAAATGGTTGTTGCTGTTTTGTTTCGGGGGGAGGGGGTCATAACTGATTATAAAATAATCTGTAGGGAATCATTGATTCTTAACTGATGCACTCCATGTGCTCATAAATTGTGATGACTCTATAATAATCTCTTGGGTTCATAGGATGGGACAAAGAAGAAAGACAGTTCACTTGAATGAACTAAAAATCTTTTTCATCTTGTCCATGTATATGGATAGAAGATGCTAGAGGATATTAAAACTTCTGAAGCTAAGAGGAAAATCTTTACTCAGCATCTATGAACTTTTGAATAGATTCGTTGCTGTAAAGAATGTCAAAGAAACCACAATCTGCTTTCTTTGTGTTAAGGTGTCAGAAAGGAGTATCGCCACATTTCTACTAAGCTGGTTGCGTGCAAAGAAGGGGGAAATAAACGATGCAGATATTGTTACTCTGATTCATGCAACTGCTGAAGTTCAGTTTGAAGTAAATAAAAGCAGCAATTAAACATAATCCTTCTCTTTCCTTTTTTCAACTCTATTTTTTTTTTGCTTTACCAGCTAAAACCTGCAGCATTCCCTCCTCCTACCTCATCTCTTATTAAATGCACTATTTGCTCATAATTCTGTCTGTAAAGATTTACTTTATTGCTTATTCACATAGTCTAGCAATATCTGCAGGTCCATTTATATGACTGTCCAGTGTAAGGAACAGCACTTGCTGGCCCAAAGGTCAGAGGGAAGGAAGAAGGAGAAAGCTGACATTTTCTTACAATATGTTTTTCCCTCTGGAAACATTGTACAGGGTTATTTATTTTGTACCCTGCTTATCTACCAAAATAGCACCCCTTGAACTCAAGGCAAGCAAACTCTTCTCACAACCTCGGTAAGAGAGGACAAGACATAGCAGTCTTATAAAACTATGCATGATTTGTTGAAAGTGGAGAAACATTTTGCGGTGCCTTCTATGATACTGAAACCCAGGGTGATCCAAGGAAGCTGAATGATGGGAAGAGTCAAGGCAGACAAAAGTGTTTATTTACAAAATGCCCATTATAGAATTCACTTCTAGATGTTGTGATTGCCACCAATTTATACAACCTGAAGAGAGTATTAGACAACTTCATGGACTAACCATACCAATAGACTACTGCCTCTAGATCAGAAGCAGGCAAGACGTCTCTGACTAGAAGTTGCCAAAGAGTAACAGTGGGAGAGGACCTGCCCTCCATGCAAAGCTAAACACATGGCATCCCCCACCCAAATCAACGTGTCTAGACTGCAGCACCCAAGGCAGAAAATCACTCCTTCCCTGGCAGTATAGCAACAACAAATGACTAATTTGCTGCTCTTTCAGGACGGCCATTTTGCTGCCTGAAGCAGCCCCTCACTGGACCTTTAGTAGCAGGGCCAGTCTACGGCTTTCATAACCTGCTGGTGGGCTTCCCACCCAGCCCAGGTGGGAAACCTCAATTTGGCCCAACTAGGGTTCCCCATGGTCCTACCCCTTCTCTGATCCCACTCTCTTTTCCCCATGCACCATATATTTCCCAGCTTATTTGCCCCCCCCCCCCCAATTCTAAACGCTTGAAATGTCGCTCAAGGCTTAGTTACTGGCAGGGAGCGCTTCCAAGCACAATAGACCGCTATCCTTTCTATTTTTGGCCCATCCCCTCGCCTCTGGCCCCACCGGCCGCTGGAATGCGCTCCTGAGCGCGTCTCCAAAGCGGGTCTCGGGCTGAGAGCGGCCCTCCACCTGTGCCGACAAGCACTTTGCCCTCGTCTTCCTCCCCCCGGGCAGCGCGGCAGAAAGGACTGACCTCCGTGCTGCCTGGGGGTGGGAAACAGCTGCTCCTGGGCCACCCCTCTCCCTCCGAGAGGCCCGGGGTGGGCTGGCCGCCAGGAGCTCGCTTACCCTCCCTCTGGACCGTGCGGCAGGCGGGCGCTTGGCCTTGCCGCACCGCCCGGACGAGATGCCAAGTGCTCCTTGCTGCGCCCGCTCAGGTGAGCAAAGCGGAGCAGCGGGCGCTTTCTCTACACCATCGTCCTCCCCTCTTCGCCCACTCCCACTCCGGCCAGCCGGGCTCCGTCCGAGCGACGGCCCGCCCGGAGCTAGTCGAGCGGCGCTGCGGGGCAAGTCTTCGCCACGTCGCCCTCCGCTCCGCTCGGAAGACCCGCTCTCCGGCGTCAAGCCGGCCACCGTGCCCACCTCCGCTCCGTTTCCGGGCAGGACGAGGCTTGGCCGCAGCGCCGCATTTGCGCAGGAAGGAGCGGCACAGACTTCTAAGCGAGGGACGCCAAGGACGCTTTGGTGGGAGCCCCCTCGGAAGCCGGAAGCGCCACTGCCCTCCGCTTCGACCGGGGTTCTTGCGCTTGACCTTCCAGAGGCGGCCGGGCGCGGCGAGGGCAAGGTGCCCTCCCCAGAGGCGCGCGTTTCCCCACGCGCGTCTCGTGCCCCACAGACGGGGCGCCCGGGGAGAGGCACGAAAGGAGCCCTCGGGGAGGGAAAGAGACTCTGCGCAAGCAGGGCCATCTCTCCAGGAGCTCGGCAGGGGTGAGCTGCCCCCACCCACGGCTGCCCCATGCCGGGAGCAGCCGAAAGTCCTCCCGTCCGGCCCGCTCTGTCACTGCTACCAGACGAGTCCCCCCTTCGGATCTCCGGCGGAATGGCCGAGGCGGTCTCGGCTCCCCATTGGCTGCTGAGCACCTGACGTAGGGCCCGCGGGGTGGCGTCCTGGGCGCAGGAGCCCGCCGGAGAGCGCTCACAAACATGCTGGAGCCCGGCGCGAGTGGCGGCGCTTGCGGCGGCGGCGGCGGCGGCGGCGGCGGCTGCGGAAAGTCCATCGCCGTTCCTCCTCCTCCTGCGGCGGCGGCGGCGGCGGCGCGAGCGAGGACGGAGCGCGGCTTCGTCTTCATGCCTCCAGCCTGGATGCCCTAATTTGACCCCCTTTCGCCTCGCCGGACAGCCATGGGAGATGGTTGGATCTCTTCTTTCTACAGCAACCGGTCCAACTCCACGGCTCAGCTTGTCACCAGCAGCAGCGGGAACAGCTCCGCTGGGTCGCACCCCCCTGGCAGCCAGCCCCTACCTTCGGAGGAGCTATCCCAGGAGTGGGTGGTGGGCATGAGCCTGCTGATGTCTCTGATGGTGACCTTCATCGTGGTGGGCAACGGGCTGGTGATTGCCGCCATCAGCCGGACGCAGAGACTGCAGACCCTCACTAATGTCTTCATCACCTCCCTGGCTTGCGCCGACTTGGTCATGGGCTCCGTGGTGGTGCCCTTTGGGGCCACGCTGGTGGTGCGGGACTCATGGCTGTGGGGCTCCTTCCTGTGTGAGTGCTGGACCTCAGTGGACGTCCTGTGTGTCACGGCCAGCATCGAGACCCTGTGCGTCATCGCTATTGACCGCTACCTGGCCATCACCTCACCCTTCCGCTATCAGAGCCTCATGACTAAAAAGCGAGCCAAAGGCATCGTCTGCGTCGTCTGGGCCATCTCAGCCTTGGTGTCCTTCCTGCCCATCATGATGCACTGGTGGAGGGACAGGGGGCCCAAGGCCAAGGAGTGTTATGATGACCCTGGCTGCTGCGACTTTGTCACGAACAGAGCTTACGCCATTGCTTCCTCCATCATCTCCTTCTACATACCCCTGTTTGTGATGATTTTTGTCTACATCAGGGTCTACAGAGAAGCGAAGGAGCAAATGAAGAAGATCGACAGGTGTGAGGGAAGGTTCTACAATAGTCACCAGCATCAGCTTCAGCCGGTTGCCCAGCACCTGCCCATCTTGGGCAATGGTCAAGTCAGTAGGAGGAAAACTTCCCGAATCCTCGCTCTAAGGGAACAGAAGGCCCTCAAGACTTTGGGCATCATCATGGGGGTCTTTACTCTTTGCTGGTTACCCTTTTTCTTGGTTAATGTGGTCAAGGTCTTTAACAGAGGGCTTGTACCAGACCAGCTGTTTGTCTTCTTCAACTGGTTGGGCTATGCCAACTCTGCCTTCAATCCCATCATTTACTGCAGGAGCCCTGATTTTCGGAAGGCTTTCAAGAGGATGTTATGTTGTCCTAGGAAAGCAGACCGGAGGCTGCATGCCAGTACTGGGGAACTTTCTCGTTACCCTGAGGGCTTCATCAGTACTCTAGAAAATGCTCCTCCATGTACCCTTGGAGTGACGTGGTCTGATTACAATGGTGGTGCACAGGATGGTAGTGATTCCAGCCTAGAGGAAAGGAACAGTAAAACTTCCTACTCAGAATCTAAGGTATAAGGGCAGTTGGTGGGAAGGATCAAAGCAATGGGAGGGCATATTGAATAATGTGGCTCAAGAAAGGGATCCTCCTTCCCAAACTAGGCAGGACAATGAAAAAATAAATCCACCAGGAGACTGGCTGGCATACACACACACACACACCAGACTGGCCTGCCTAAATGGGGAGAAGATTGCATTTACTCAAGGTGAACAGCAGGTGAATTTGAATGTAGCCTAAGTACCTCTTCTGACTCATCTGAAACTGAAGCAAACGGAGAGCAAATGACCACAGAACAAAGGCAATTAACTATCCATTTTGTCCAAATTGGCGGGTTGCATGTGCTGGTGTGCCAGGAAGGGGGAGAAAAAAGTTTGCAGGAGTTTGAAAAAGAAGTGTTTCAGGAAGAGCTGAAGTTATGACAGACAATTAGCCTAAAAATTATTTTAAAAGGCCTGGGGCAGGAGTGTCCTTTCCTGATATTGAAGGAAACAGATGAAGCCCCTGGTAATTTGACTTGAGAGCTGAAGATAAGTCTTTTGTTGTTTTTACTCCTTCCAGGAGCTTCAGTGGCACAAAAAGTAGTCTGTTTGTTTTTTAAGGAAGTGCTGGTCACTCACATATCTTCACTGAAATTAGCATAAATTTCAGGCACTTGACGACCATGCTAAAGCCTATTCTAATAGCCAATGGGGGAAAATATTCTGATGAGTTTTAGTATGTTAATATGATCCTACACTTTTGAAAAAGTGAGTTTAAACTTACTCTCAAGTGTGCATTAACTTGTAGCCTTAATAACCTAATGTTCGCACTCCCCTTAATATCTGGACAAAAAGGTTAGATAAGTAATATTGTAATTCGACATGTCTGTGTTTTAATCAAATCTCTCCTAGTTTTGATCCTTTCCCATTGACATTGTGGGACTGTGGGTGGGGGATATTCGTATTGATCTAGGAGACAATTCAGGCTACAAACATCTACCTCAAGCTGTGCATATTGTACAGGAAAAATGTGTTTATATTAAACCGCTTATTTATGTATTGTTAGGGTTCTGTTTTTAGTTTTATAAACAGAGGTGGGAGCTTGATCCTCTGTAGGCAGTTTGTTCACATTGAAAGATGAAAAGGAAATGGCCAGGAACACAAGAAATGTTACTGCATGTTTGAAAAGACCGAGACAAGTTTTTCTTTTGCAGTGTTATCAGAGTTTGTTGCTCTCTCTCTCTGTAGGCCCCCTCCATACACACATGCACGCACGCACACATTGGGAAATGAGGAGATTTTAAAAGCATCAAGCCCTGACTGGATTTCTTTGGCTGGTAGATATGCTACTTTTTTATTTTTAAAGCATTTTATATTATTTAATTGAGGTACTGTAAGTATATTCTTACTATAGAGAAATCTATAGTAAACCGATTTTTAATGAGTTACTTTTTTATGCCTAGGAACCCCTGTGAACCTGTTATGACTTCAGCATTTCATTGTAATTCCCCATCTACTCCTCTGTGTGTGTGTGTGTATGTGTATGTGTTTTGTAATGTATTTATATACTCTGGGTGCAGTTTACTACTGTATGTCATTGGTTTATGTGCAATAAAAACCACTGCAGCACAAGCGAACTGACTTACAATGTCTCTTGTTAGGTAAGGAAACAATAACCACTCCTGATGGAAAAAGCAGAGTCTGTTTTGCTGAAAATATGGATCATGTTACCAATACGATTCAACTTAATGGTTTTTCCGGACATAATTGACTTTTCAGAAAAATACATGCTTGCTGTACCAAATAAGGTAGCGTTCCTGTTAAACTGAATGAAGGCTGCTAACTTTCCCTGAAATTCCAGGGCCAAAGGCAAGATGCTTTCAAGCTGGCTATAAATGCAGTAGCTACTTTTCTTTTATGGATGCCTCTTACCAGTTTTAATCTACTCTGATAATGCTAGACCAGGTGGCTAGAAACCTGATATTGAAAGTGACAAAATTGTTTTCAATTTCATTTGAGCAATGATAATTTTGAAGGAAAGATCATCCATTCGGATGTTGAAGCCATACCTCTCGTAACCCACAATTAATCTCATTGAAGTCTCTGCTGTACTTGGGCTACTTAATACTCCCAGCTATGAGAGTCTGAGAATGGCAAGCTGCACTTCTTTAACTATTTAACTTCAATCAACCTTTGATGAAGTTTAATTTTCAGGCCAAAGTTAATGATATTAAAAACCAGGAGTAAATCTTCAGACCATTTGCTCTGTTATTTAGGGTCCACCCTAGTCTAATTGGTATGGAATTTTTAATGCTTTTCTGGGGGAATGCTAGCAGTTGTTAGTTTCTCTTTTTTATACAAGCTAGTAATAATTAGACAATGCTGTTTAATTTGTGATCTCATGGTATAGGAAAACAATCAAGGGGAGATGGGCTTGCTTTTGCTTTTTTTGATTTTCCAACCTCAACTAGTTGTAGTTGGAACTTCAGCCAATCTTTACCAAGCAGTGAATGTTGAAATCTTTCACAGGAATGTTGCTACTATATTTAATGAACTAATTAGATTGCTTCAGTAAATTACTGTAACTAAATTTAAGTCTGTCATTTCAGTTTCCTGCTTGGAGGATGTGCCTTGTTTTTAAGGCATAGATTGTGTGTCATTCACATTACAGGCAGAAATTCAAAAGTAGCCACTTTTCCACAATTGGGAATCAACACCTTTTAGGTATTGATAATAGTACTTCATATTCTGTAAGGCTTTTTGAGATAACTCTTTTGTGGGATAGAAAATGTGGGGCATACATTCATTAAATAAATCATAAACCAATACGTTTATGGTTGCCATTGAAAAGCACAGAAAAATCTCTGCCAGGAAAGGATAGAAGTAGCAACACTTATCAGCTCGATGGGATTGTAATTTGTGATGTGGACTCATTTGGGATGTGTGCAATCAATACTGAGTTTAAAGAGATGGACTAGATGCCTTTGGAGTATCCTGCAAGCTTATAAACAGGCATCTGCAATAGAGCAGCCTTGTTTCAATAAAAGGAAACAAATGCTTCTCTTAACTAACTGTGCTTTATGTCAGGCTTTGGGTGAGGTTTATGTGAAGCAGGTTGTCTGCCAAATATGTGTGTGTAAGATACGCTGTGGATAAAATTGAATGGTGCACAGTGCACTCATTGGTGAAAAATACATAACCCATATAGTTAAAAACTGTATTAGCAAGCTGGGTGAAAGGAAAATATTTCCAGCTACTGGTGGCAGTGGCCATTTCTTAGAAAAAGTGACAGTATAATCCTGTTTGCCATTTGTTGCATTCCTGCCTTGTTCTTCCTCTAAAGCGTCCTGCCTCTATCAGTTACTCCTTTTTAATAAGAGCATGCAATGTTGAGTATTAAGTTGTGTTAAATACATAGGCCAGCAGTATTTATGTGCCTGGCCCCTTGACATAAGTAAATCTGTTTCTTACCTATGCGTATATTGTCCCCACCCGCTGTAGCCATGAATTAGGAGAGAATAGCCTGGTAGAATGGAGTTGATGCTTGATATTGGTAACAAGGAAGCAATATATCTGAAGTCATCATGCTTATTCTGCTTGCATTCTGACAGAATTAGTATTGGCAGATTTGGTATGTACAGAGATTCTCAATGTCAGGATGGTAGTCCATATGGTGTAAGTCATTTTAACCTATATGTGATGGCTGCAACACAGCTAAAATGGAATATTTAAGGCGAGCTTAAATGAGCTGGCCCTGGGGCAGAGTGAGCAATGATTGCAGCACAGTGCAATGGACAGATCTTCATGGGAACCAAAGCTCAGCTCCAGAATTTGCCTTCAGTGCCAAGACTCAGGCTGGATTCATTAGTTTACTTGCATATTTCAAAACCTGAGTTTTACAGCTGGCTGCAGGTACATATGGAGAGAGTTAGCCCTATTAGAAATGCAAGTGTGAGGATGCATTTGGTTGATAAGATTTCTGCAGAGTGGAACAGTAGATAATAAAAATTATCCTGTTTCATGTGGTAATAGGTATGGTGAGAAGCACCACACTTTTTTAAAGATAAAGATTCATAAATTTAAAATGTGCTCACTGCTTCAGTGTATGAGATATATTTATTTCATTTGAGCATATAGAGAATGCCTTGAGCTCATTCTTAAATATCTACACACATGCTTCTGATTAATGGCTTTTTGGTCAATAGGCTGTGAGCTTTAATTTTAAGAATTAAATATTAGAAGTCAGCAGAGCTGCTGAGAGAACCTTAACATGCTTATGGGTTAGAATTTCGCAATAACAAAAGCTTTCATTTTTCACAGCGCACTCAAAAAGGTTCTTCTCTTTCTGATTCGAAGAGTTTTAAGCCTACACAGGTTTAAATTCTGAGACACCGAGAGATATTAGTAAACCAGCTAGCTAACCATGTGTGTGAGCTCAGTAAGTAACCACCTTTACTATCCCATAGCAGCCTTTCGCACATGTGAGGGGGATACTAGGAGAAGCAGGAAGCTCTGGTCATTTTTTGCAATGGGTTTTTTTCCCATTGCAGAAAGATCCACGAAGAGGATTATGAGAAGCGGGGCTCAAGTAGCTTTCTGCAATAACTTACCTGCAAGTCTTTTTCAACATGTTCAACCTTTACCAGAATACTTATTTTTCTTTAGTAATGCATGGTGTGTGTGGTCGGGGGGGGGTGTCCTTGACTGTTGATATTTTTGTTTGTCTTCTCAGTGTTGCTTAAAAGCAAATTCTGATGTGCAGGGAGGGCGCATGGTACAATCTTCAAATAACACTGTGAATGCACATAGATAATTTTCGTTTGTTGGAAGACATTGCCAGCTTCAAAGTTTGTTGCATGAGGAATAGGAGCGGAGCCACCTGCTAAATACCACTGCTCTCTCTGTCTAACTCTGTATTATCTAGACTAGAGGGGGCAACTTGTGGCCCTATAACTCCCCTCAGCCCTACCCTGCATAGCCAACAGTAAGAGGTAAAGGGATTTGTGAACTAGAAATATCTGGAGGGTCACATCTGGTGCTGCCCTGAGCTGTGCTGGCTGGCAACGGATCTCCACATTGTTCCTGGCAGTGGTTTCCCAGATCTACCAGGAAATACCATGGACTGAGCCTGGGACCAGCCATTAAGCTGCAGTCTTCTCTGTTGTTCAAAAATGGTGTGTAGCCTGGCTTGGCCTTCTCCTCAATGCTCCTTTCCCACAGAGAGGGATTTTTTCTATTTCTTTTTGGCACGGAGTATTTCCAAATAAGCAATTCCCTATGTTCATTTGGAGGTATTGATGGCCCGTTATGCATAAGTTGGTTCTTAGCCTTTAAGCAACTTGTTAACAGAAATGCTGAACAGTGAAGTTTCTGCCAAAATTCCAGAAGAGTTGATCTAGATGGCCTTTGCGTTCCCCCTAAATCTGTTGTTCTGTTTCAGTCCTTCTCTTTTTTCAAATCACCTCAGAGGTGATGCTTACTCACAAAATAATCCTTTGAGGCAGAATATACGCGCTTTTCAAAATCCTTTACATTACCCCAACACCCTGCAATTAGCTTTTCTTTTGAGTCTGCTTAGCATGTATCTGGGCAGAAGGAGGGATAAAACAGTGGAGACTAATTTTCATGCAAGGCCATATTACAACCTACATCGGTATGTGTGCTAGTTTTGCTACTTTCCTTTGCAATTAGGATGACAGTTTGCACCCACCTCCAGATTTATTTGTCTGCAGAGCTCCAATACAAGACAAATAGCAAAGTGAAGCTAGGTCAGTTGTCAGTGGAATAAAATATGTGCTTTACCGTGTTACTTGGTGATGGAGAATTGTTTAAATACTGAGATGCTAATTCTGCATGGGGTTCCACAGGAATAAATCTGAAAAATCAGGTAAGATAGAATTTATTTCTTGATTAACTAATGTTGGTGTTACGGCTGTCCGTCAGTTAATCATATGACTTTTATAGGTTGAGAAATTAATCAGCAATGTGATGCTATGCATGTTTATTCAGAAATGAGACTCACTGAGTTCAGAAGGGCTTCCTCCCAGGTAACAGTGTATAATTGCAGCCTAAGGGTTATATCCAATATTCACCCAACTTAGAGTAGATTTGTTGAAATGAATACTACTTAAAGTAGATTTGAGTGAAAGCCACAATCTGCAGAAATGATAAAGCAAGAATTCTCGAAGAGAAAATAAAAGACAACAGGTTGGTTTTTTTTTTTTTTTTTTCAGATTATGCCTGCATGTTACAAGGCGCCCCATCTTGGAACACTTTATTCGCTCACATATAAAAGATAACAGGGAAATTATTGCACCTTCCAGACATAGATTGGTCAATGCCTATATTACACAAATTTTGCTGCCCAATTACTTGGGGGCTTTTTAAAAATTCAGATGTGTATTGTATCGCTCAATTGAATAAAAGGCACAGTCTGGTAGATATGCTGCCATTGCTCCAATTGTGCAGAAGAACCATTGTATACCTGGTTTGGCAGAGAGGGGTGAATAGCAGAAGGACGTAATCTCACTCCCTGCACCCATCCTTTGATGGCCAATTGGTGCATATCTGGTTATCATTTTGGAGCACTGTATCCACCTGAGGATGCGTACATGGAAACCTGCTTCCTTGCATATAGGCTGCACTCTGGACTGTCACAAATTCCTTTATATTTTGCTACATTGTTTGCCATGCTGATATAAAGTTCATTGGCAAGGGCTGAATCCATTCCTCCCATCACCTGTAGCCTAGCTGTGTGAATCACTGTGCTGGCAAATACATATTTGGGAATGGGCTGAGCAAACCTCTGACCATATAATACTTTTGACTGATGTTTAGGAGTGGGTGAAAAATCGTAGTGAAGCAGAATAGATGCTGTATCAGCATTATGAGTTGATCCAGGGCAGAAGAACAGTAAGAATTTGCAGGCACTGATATTATGGCAAGTGAGCATAGTGGTTAAGAGTATAAGTGATAAATGGGGAAATAGCTGGTTATAGTTTAGTCTTGGACTTAATGGACGGCCCAGGACAAGCTAATCTCCCTCAAGCTAAGCACCACCACCTGAATTATAGCAACAGCAACGCTTTCCTGCCTTACAGGGCTGTTGACAGGATTTTGGGCAGAATACTTATGCAATACTTCCAGCGCTTGTTTAGTTTGTTTTTTGAATGTTATTTTGATTTCTATCCATCCCAGTCCTGAGGGTCGGAAATGGAACTGTGCCTCTCAAAGGGATCATTGGCTAGTTGCTTACATTGGTACTTGTCCAGTCCCCAACCCTACCCATTTTTACTTCGAAGTATGTCCCACAGAGCTTCCAGATAGGTGCAGGTAATATTAACAGAACTTAGCTCTCTGCTTTTCTAAGTTAGCCTTCCCCAGACTCATACCCTTCACATGGTTTGGTCTTCAAAGCTCCAGTTGGTCCCTGCTAGCATAGCCAATGGTCAGGTATTCTAAGAGTTGTAGCCCAAAATATTTAGAGGGCACCATGTTGGAGAAGGCTAATCTAAGAGACAACACCTGCTTAACTCAGAATAGGAGCTGGGTTTTAACCATTGCTGCTTAATAAAAGCTATGTAATGTATGACATTCAGTGCTGATAATTTAGTGTTATTAAAATGAGTGTGGTGATAAATGTATAGGTTCTATCAGACATATGGTTTCCATGTGTACGGGAAATAAATGGCTATTGGCGAGCACTTTGTTCTGGATTATTCTCTCAGTACAGTATGTTCTTCAAGACTGAAAAAATTCTTCCCTGAGCATGCTCACAGGGCAGTTGAAATAGTGCAAGGCAAAGAGTCCAAACATCCGTGATGGATCTTTCTTTGAAGCAAACCAGACATGGATTAACAATAGGAGCTGGAGTCAGAAAGACCACAAATATCACAACACACTTGTGCTGAAAAGTTTGGGTAACCAGAGGAGAGAAGGAACAAAGAATGAATCACAGCCTATGATCACAGCTGCATAAGACTTGCTGACCTTAATAGGTCATCCTGTCCATCTAAGAAGGGCTGATAATAACCAAAACATCTATAATAGATGTTTATCTAGCTCTTTAAAAAGAAATCCAATGGTTAGGATTCTGCACTCTGTACTATGACTTTGTTCCACTGTCCTAATATGTTTGTAGCTAGAAACCAGCTCTGGGTGCCCAGAGCACTTCCCCTCCCTGCTTCTGTTCTGTTTGAGCCCATTATCTCTTGGCCTGTGCACATGGGCATTTTATTTATAGCAGGCTTGGGATCTATCTGCAACCTTTTCTTATCTGGCTTCCCTTCTGAGTGCAAATCATGCTTGGTTCCTTTGAGCCTTCCTCACAAGAGCCCACATCTTAAAGAAACGGAAACTACTCACATGAATAGGAAGGTTGTGACGGGGCAGTGCTCTGAGCTTTGTCCACAAAATAGTAGCACACTTCCACCCCTGCTACTGGTGCCATGTTGTCCTGACCTGGGGAGCCTCCTGTACTTAGGAAAGGTTCTCAGGGACTTAGTACCCTGATTATGCAAAAGCTAGAAAAGAGTACTAGCACAGACAGTATACATGAACAGGCTGGTCCCAAACATGCCTCCCTGCCGACGGTGGGGCACTCATCTCCCACAAAATGCAAAATGCGAGGAATATTTCCAGAACCTTTGGGGGGAGGGGAGTGAAATAGCTTGCATTTTTTACTCATGGGTTTACCTGAGAGATATGAGATGGTGGAAAGTTGTAATTAGTCTTATTTATTTGAAGCTTTTATATACCATCCAAATACGAGCATCTCGTGATGGTTTTACAAGAAAAGCAACACAAAATGAAATGGAGCACAGCGTCTAATGCTTCCAGTATAATAAAACCCAAATTAAAACCTATTAAACATTAAAAGAATGGGATAATAAAAAGGTTTTCACCTGGCACCAAAAGGAACAAAGCGTTGGTGCCAGGCAAAACTCTGGGGAGCGTATTCTATAAATGGGGCACCACTGCAGAGAAGGCCCTTCTCTGGCTAACCACCCTCCTAATCTCCTTCAACGAGGGCTCCTGGAGAAGGACGTCCACCTCAGATCTTAAGGGGTGGGAAAGCACATAGGGATGGAGGCGCTCCTTCTGGTATCCAGGACCTAAGCCATTTAGTGCTTTATAGGTCACCATCAACAGATTGGGCCACTATTTCCTTCTTGTTTGGTTTGCTTAGGGAGTTGTTGGCTTGTTTGTTTTAGAAAAAAGGGAGAGAGGACAGAAAGACAATGGTGGTTAGAGGTGATGGAGGAGAAAAGAGAAATGAGAACATAGGACATATAAAAGAATAGTGGATATCATTTTACCAGTTGCTGTTAATGACAGTCCCCAATTCTGAAAATTCAAAAGACTCTGGTCTTGCTCCAAATAAATGCTCTGATAAAAGATAATCTGTATTAGGAAAAACTTCTAACAGATTAATCTGTCAATCTTCTATTTGAATAAGATGCCTAAAGTTAGAATACTGAGGCCACTGACCACTAGTTTTTCACCTGTGCGGTTCTTCAGTGACTTCAGTGATCTAGGTACTCATGCAGGGCTTAAGCATTAATCACTAGTGGAAAGTATTTTGTGACTGTGGATTGGATCTTCGTTGCAAGGTAGAGATGTACTCTTTCCATGTCTTGGAAGGAGAAAACTGAGTCATTAAGGGCATGATCCTGTAGCCGCCTGGCATTGTAGGGGAGGAGAAGATAGGATTATTCGGAGTCCTGGCTTTGAGGTCCTGCCACTTCATTGCTGGGACCCCAAGTACAGAGCCCCCCCTCCTCACAACTTGCATGCAAAAGCCATGTTGGTGTCTCTCCAAGGTGAGACATCAGCTCTGGAGAGGGTTAAAGGGGCATGCTGGGGAGCAAAGAGGGGAGAGGAGACAGCTAGGGTTGATGGTCCCGCCTTATCTGTAGGGTATCCAGCTTGCTTCCTTTTCATCTGTAGTGCTTCCTGTAAATGGCTGAAAATGGCTGCCATGATGAAAGACAAGGCCCTGAGCAGTGGTGCCTCTGGTCCTGGACGCATGTAAGCCTCCATGTTCAGAGGCTTATGTGCATTGAGGGTGGAGAACATTGGCTCATGCCCTAAGTCAAACAGCATTTAAGTCATTTTTCCAAGGCTAAACTGAAATAATTCTATAAATAGAATATAATGTTCATGTGTTTTGTCTACTGCACCATCCTTCCCCATAAAAACTAGAGGTTCTGGGTTTTCTGAAAGTTACTTCTGTTTAGATAAGAAGCTGTGGCATTGCGTCACTCTAGATGGTGGCATGCAAAAGCCAGTTTCCAGAGCATGTCTGGATCAGAGACCACTAAAAGGCCAGGCAAAAATGTGCCCCTATGTGGAGTCCCATTCATANCCTCAGC